CGCTCTAGCAGTATCTGTGCAATCTTGTCGTGTCCTTTAGAATAAGCAGCTTGGAGAGCATTTCCGTACTTTCCACCGTTAGTATCGGCTCCTCGCTCTAGCAGCATCTGAACGATTTTATCGTGCCCATTAAGTGAAGCCCACATGATCGGGTGTATTCGGCCATCATCTGGCGTATCAATACCCCATTTGCTTGCAGCAAGTAGTGAGCTAACCTGCTGCTCATGACCGTTAAATGCTGCCAGCTGTAGTGCATCCATTTCACCCGCCATCCGGTATAGTATCACTACATTCCAAAAGATTGGAAACCATAGCGCAAATCGCTTTCCACTTATATCATATAATCGATGCAGCCGATCAGTCACCTCTTGGTCTAAAGTGAAAGTCATGTTTCGTACGTGATCGGGCTAATGTATAGCTGAATATTCCAAAAAGCACTGAGAAGCGCGCGACTCGTAGTTATCGTCTTCCAAATCCTCTATCAATAGGTATCTGATACATATAAGAGCCAGTTGGTTTTCAGTATCACTCGGGCTGCACGAGTATGGGAAGTTGAGATCGTTCGAATTTGCCTTCTCAATTAGAAATTCCCTTACTATCTGGTGAATAAGGTATATCTTAGAGTTTATTAATAAAAACCAAAAGGCCGTATAAACGACGGAGCTTCTTCTCTAGCTGTAATGAATCCACTCTAGCCTATACTGTAGCTTACGACTATAGGGAGAGACCCAAACCTAGCGCTATGGCCATTTCCGCTGTTGTTAAAGGCCGCCTTACTCTAACAATAATCTGTAAGACTTTTCTCACCGTGCATTTTTGGTTAGGAGGCACTCGACTAAGAATCTTTTCGTATGCCTTATTCACTGAAGGAGGTATCATTTGGACTAATTCCTTGGTAGGGTAAAGGCTATTCTCGAATGTCGATCGAACGTTATTAATAGCTAAATGTAGCCAAAGATAGGTGCGGTGTTCTATTTGTAACAATTGTTACTCGAGTCGCTACTATATATCCCACGATAACGATGCTACTTCGGCTAGCTCTTTTATTCGTATCTTTATAACTAGATCTATTTCCTTATAGATTTGATCGTTTTATTCCTCCCCCTTTAAGTGTAGATGTGGGAAAGAGTCCGTGGTCGCTTAGAAGCGATTCTGGATGTGGTTATAGGGACGACTAGTAACTAGAAATTTTAAATAGGTATCTTGTGTTGATGAATATGGCTAGCGGTGGAAGGACTAGAGCTTCTGAATCAATCGACCCTGATTAATCTCACGGCATTTATTAAGTGCATTAAAAATATATATCGTCTTAAACGGTACGTTAGATAATATTGCCGCTATAAAGACCCGCTATAGCTTATCAACCTCTTATCGGAGCCTCTCTCTATTCTTTTCCTAGGATATGTCAGTCCCTGGGCACTCATCTCTAGAGTAATTGATTGCTCTATAATCCACGGTTCATAGATAGCTAATGAGCACGACCTTCCTTCAAGTCTCATTCCTGGTAGTGTATTTTGTCAGCTGTGGGAGATGCCATACCAAAATCGCCATTAAGGCTGAGATGATCATCGTCGACCCACTCATGCAGACGATCCACCAATAGTCAACCAACCCTCGGTCGGACCAACCAGCCTCACCAGACCACGTTCGTGATCTCTAATATACTAGGTACAATAATGATGTTTGGCTTGTTTGCATACGGATCCTCAATATTTTACGGAGACGATCCACCGTCACGATTTAAGTAAACGTATCTTTTGACTACCTTGAAGGCCCCTTACAAATCTGCGTCTTTTTTTAGTTCAAGGCAGTATAACAAGGCTAACAATTTTCATACGGATTGAAATATATAGAATAATAATAAAGTATAGTATATCATAAGCCGAGATATATATTAATTCTGTAAAATTTGTGCCTCAAAGTTTAATGTCTGCCCACTTTCGTTTCTTGGGGGATTGCCGCCTAGGGCGCCAACAATGCGTGTCAACGAGATGGTAGGTAAGCTCCTCTAGGCTTTTAAAGGCTGTGGAGCAGGCTGGATGCTTGCAGTCGAAATCAAGTTTGAGTTCTTTCAAATGATCTTCAATATGGGAGTGCCACTTTGGTGGTGAGAGGACGAATTGAAGCATTCTCTTTGACGATTTCTCTCTCTTAGCACCTAGGCAAAACGGATATAGCCCTAGCTTTATAGGTGCGTTCCGAAAGATTATAGGATTATAACGGAGCAAATCGCCTAGATTATCAAGATGCTCCTAGTAATGATCCTCCTATTCTGATTTATTGATAAACTATAGGTCGCATTTAAAGTATATTTACGTAAATCCGTGGGTGGATTTATAATGCCTTAAGTAGCAACGGTAGAGATATAACTATTTTCGGTGATCCTTAAGTCTATTTCAATTTAGTAATAGGAAAATCATATCTTTCTATTAAAGCACGACATACTTTTTAATAGAATTTCTATAGAGATAGGCCTAGCCTAGGGGGCTAAGGCTATCGCGGTATAAAACCGTGTCTATCTCGCTATAGAGAGATTCTAATGCCTCTAGGGTTCTTCTTCTATCTAAACTCCGGAGGTTAAGCTTATAAGGTAATATACTAGCTAAGAAGTCTCTATAAGGTATTACCTTTCTCCTATAGTGGAATATGGTTTTAGTGTAAATACTTCTATATTACCTCCCTAATTACGCCTAGACTCTTCGGAGCTCTTTATTATAAAGGCTCCGTTTCTCACTATAGACCCTCTTTTGTTTAAGTTGAATTTTTTATTTTTCTTCTAGCGTAGCGTTTAAGAGCAGCGAACTTAACTTTGCTATAGTTTAGTTAAGAGTATAAATATCTTCTCGGGTAAGAAATTTATACTTAGCTTTCGTAGGAAGGAGCTACGATAAATAGGAATTACGGTAAAGACCTATTCCCCGACGATTCTAGATATGCTCTTATCGGGTAGTAATTCCGAGGTAGTTTACTAGTCTATTAACCTTACTAAGAGGATACGCGTATAACTTTCCGTATATATTCCGGTTGGTTTACCTAGCGAACTTTATTCTTATAGACTCGGAATACGTCTTATCTATTTTATTATTAGTTAGCCTAAACCTATACTTATAATAAATCCGTACCTACTTCCTATAAAGCCTATCTTCGACACGCCCGAATAGTAATATTTAGCGTATAGCCACTTCTATAGCCTAGATTAACTAAGGCCTTACCGAAGGCATCCGCTCCCCTAGTATAGCCCTTAAAGTTTTCTATATTATACTTAAGATATTAGCGAAAAACCGGCAGATTTCTTATCTCTTACCGGATATAAATCACCTTAAGGATCTTATCCTCCGAAGGACCGGCTTACTTATATTTATCGATAGTATCTAGGATCTCGCTTATAGAACTATAATCTCTAAAAGCTTTATCTATAGTAGCTATTAGTAAAAAGAATGTTAAAAGGTTTAGGAATATTAGTATATCCTCGGCGTATACTTCGTAGAATACGTGCCTAGGAATCTCCTATTTATCCTTTTACTAGAATCCTTTAACAAATTCGCGCTTATAGGTGAGTATAAGCATTCTTATACTATCTATAGTCTCGATTATAAGTTCGAAATGCTAATACTATTAGCTTTAAGCATTTTATTTCTCCTTCTCTAAACACACCTTATAATAGGTAGCTATTACGCGGGCTTCTAAGGAAGTATCCTCGCTCTCCCCGATCTCCTAGGCTCTATATCTCCGAGCGGTTAATTCGTGAACCTCCCCTATACGTGAAGAGGTAAAGCAATATAGGAGTATGGCGGCGCTTAGCTAAACCCTAGCCCGGTCGGTAGGGTTTCTACGATACTTATAGTGGTCGCGACACTATAATTGAGTTATTAAGATAGTCAAATCATTTAGGGATACACCGCTATCTTTATCTATTTGCTTAGTTAAGAGAGGGATTTTAGTCCTTAGTTCTCCCTTAATATACTATCTAGTATTAGCCCTAATTTATTTGAAAAGATAGCGGTATAGACCTCTTTGATTATAGTCCTAGTGGTTGGTGGGAAGTCAAAGTTTCTTTCTCTCTTTATACTAGTAACGAACTGCCTAAAAAATCCCTTTATCGTCCCGACTATAGGCCGTTCTTCGATCCGACCGTCCTTTCCTTTTGTAACCCACTCCAGAAAAGCCCTGCATGTTTAGATGTCCGGCGGAATAATAGAATGTGGATGTAATTCGACAAATCTAGGGATGGAGGCATAATTTAGCGATTTGCTTCTCTGCTCCTAGGGCTGAGACTTACTTGTCAAAAATAAGTAACGTCTCTTTATAACCAGATTCTGTTCGTGGTAGCACTGTCCGTTGGATTTCATTGTTACTATGTTCCCCGAAATCCACAACATTAGCCATATACTTCAACATTGGGTCACGCTTGGTACGCATCTTTCTCGTGATAAAGCGAGGCTTGAGAGGGGAAAACGGAGGGGAAAAGAATGGTTACTTATAGCATTTTCGGTCAGAAGTGGGAAATGTACATTTTGCTGTACGGGCTGAATATTCGGGTGAAGAATATTCAGGTGGGTGAATATCCGCCCTGAGTGCCCTGAATAGAGCGGCGAGCCGCCCATGCCTGAACCGTGGGCGCTAGGTGACCACGGTCATACTTATGCTGTTGTATGTTTTTGTTTTCTGTTTCTTTTCCGTTCATTGAGAAATTGGGGCGATAAAAGCGGGCTCGAGCGGTAATTATTACCAACATATGTAGGTGAGCATACTACACACCTAGGATCCACGTGAGCCCCGTTTACCATAGATGAGCTTAGGTATCGCCGTCCGCCTATTAACATATCGACCCTAGCTATTTGAATCGAAGTTTCGTTCCATCTTGGTGCTTGGAATGGTCTTTGAGACTATTGGTGAGCGTCATAAACCCGTGAGAAAGAATCCAATAACGTCAATTCAACTGCGTTGAGGATAGATCCTCCTCGATAGCAATTCTGCGTGGTGACTGGCTGAGCCTTGGACTCTTTGACTTGGCGGTCGATAAGGCGCAACCCATAACTATATCACTATATCACTTATGTGTCCAATTATTCTTTCGTGAGGTATGGTTGGTGCCCCTGGTCCTTGTCATCGAACCGGCCAGAATCCGCCTTGAAGACGGGAGTCAGTCCTTCCACCCTTAAGAAAATTCTCATCCGCCTCACAACGAGACTAGACCCATCTGAAAAGAATTCTCAGGCGTCTGGTATACGCCCATTATGTCGGCATATATGCCGGAGCAAAATGGATCGACGCAGCCGTGCAGAATTACTAAGTAGAGGAGAGGAGCCGAGATTTGTGTTGGAATTGCCTGCCATGTTGTCAAAACATGCGACATAGCCCTGGAGAGGAAGCTCGGCTTTCTTATCCTATAGGTGTTGCGATGGAGATCGCACGCTAACATGATTAACTGAGTGCCCGAATATCAATTTCTCCAGACTGGGCCGACGTTAAAGCGGGCCCAGATCGAATTTGTATAGTTTGATATAGTACCTCTTTGTCCTGTTCGAATCCCAATGATGAGTGACAACTCTAAGATTAGAACGGTCCATGGGTCGACGTAATGATTATATAAGCTATAGACCTCACCTGGGCACCAGGTGCAGCTCCCCAGGGCTGCCAATCATGCAGCGTCATGTGCAGATCCCCCAGAAACTACCGAGGTCGGATGTGCGGGTCAAATTAATCCGAGATATGAATTGGGAGGCTTGTCGCTCTTTTTTCTTGGTTTTCTTTGCTAGTAGCGGATCACCCTGATTCCGTTCCTGAATGGCAGTCACTAATGCCATTGCGCCGTAGTCATACAAAGTCAAGGAAGGGGTGTTTGGAGTGTAAAAGGAGACATGTCAAGGTCAGTACCAACAAGTTTAGCCCCCTGAGCTCGTTAGGGTGTTGAATGTGGCTCAGGAATGTGCCTGGATCATGGCCCAGATAGCCTTTACACACGGCAGTAACCGACCAGTTGAGACCAATATTCTGACAGCGCTCAGTGTGACGAGGGCATTCCAAAATGTACTCTGTGCAAGAAGCGAAAATTAGAGTGCAGATATCCCCACCCAAATGAAGGCGAGGACAGTCCTATGGCATCATCCAGCGCCCAGGATGAAACAGAAAGTGGCACTGTGACCCCACCAAGGGATTTCCCACTGGCGACACGCTTGCTTGAGACGAGATTATTCCACCAGTACCTGACTTCGACATACCACACTCTGTCGCGGGATGGACTATCAGCACACCATCTCTCCATGACCATTCCTCGCATGGCCGCATCTTGTCCTTACCTGCTTGACAGCATCCATGCATTTTCAGCCTTACACTTGGCCTCGGTTGAAACTGATAATCGGGCTTCATGGCTGGATCATGCCGTGCGATACCAGAGCCAGGCATGCGCTGGGTTGAGCAAGGTCCTTCCAGAAATGTCGCCACAAGATTATGAACCAGCATTTGTCTCATCCATCATCATAATGCTTTTCGCCATTGGATCTCGAGTATTGTCTCTTGAAGCTCGACCATTGGACCCGCTTTTGGTTGTTCTCGAGGCTCGCACGTTGATATCTGGCCCCGCCATGCTTTTTTCCAGGATAAAAGAAGGTGGAATTGATGCACAGCTGGATGGATGGCTGTGCGCTCCTGACACACAAGAAAGCCTCGAAAGTGGAAAAAATGATCAGTACGGAACCCTTTCTCTCTGACTTATTAGCGAAGGCTAGATGATAACACGAAACAGTGGCAGCAGCCCGGTCGAAAACGCACACGTACTATTTCGCCTACACAAGTATGTTCCAGTGACGTATGAAGTTACGGTGTAGGGCCTGCGAAGCTGATAATCAAAGCAGAGACATAATGACGTCGCTGGCTCGGCTTCATTCGATAATTGACACAAGGAAAGGATCGGATCAACCGACCTACTGTGCCACATGGCAGCAGTTGCAGCAGGCCATCGAGCCGTGGCCAAAAATTGGACCACATGGCGGCCCCCTTGCATGGCCCTTATTTCTATCCGACAAATTTTCCTCACTCCTCCAACATGGCGACTGGATTGCCCGAGTTCTGTTTCTGCATTATGGCGTAGCTATGCGTCTCCTATGCCATCGATGGTACGTGCGCGACTGGGGTCGCCGGCTGGTATGGGCCACACTGCAACAACTGGATGAGATCCCTCAGGATTGGGAGGAGACTATCTCTTGGATAAGACGAGCCGCTGCGAGGGAGGATTAGTCACAGAAATGATAACCATGTGGAGCATTCGGGGTAACTATGGAGTATAGGGTTCTTAAAGACTGAGGTATTTAACTAAATATTTGTAATAAAGGAAACGCCAAGCTATGGCCGGATCATTTCGAAGGGAGATAAGAGCTTGCGTTTGGACCTTTGGAGTATAGAATTTGATCTAGTGAGCCCCGATAGAACCCCGAAAGCTACCCATTAGCTTATCAGCGGGAGCGGAACCGGCGTTTTACACTTGTGACACCGTTAAGGAGTAGATCTAACGGTCTTTGAAGATGTAGACCTTCGAAATATCCGAGCCTTGATTTCCCATCCCTCAATTACCATCTCCCGATGCCGGTTGCATTTGCTGGGGACCGCCGATCCTATACAAAACCGTCTGGAGCGAACCAGGACAGGCCTCCAATCGTGGCATGCAACATCCCTGTCAACTGAGCCGAGATGTGGGGAAACAGATAAAGGCTATCTCTCCAAAGTTTCCCCTCTCCCGAAGTCGGTGACTACTTTGCGCCCCGATTGGAAATATTAATAGCAGAAGGCGCCATAGCTTGAGTTGGCCTTGCCATCTTCTTCCCCTGGACTCTCGCGCAACATTCCTATCGCAAGGAAATTGGAGTCAGACTCTTGTCAAAATGTTGCAACCGATAAGAGTTGGGGTTTCGGCGGTTTTGTCGCTGCTATTGATCGCAGCTCATCTGCCCAGTGCAAACACCTCCCCCTTGGAGTTCTCCGAGCGAGACACGAATGAAATTGGCCTTGGGAAGCTGGGCCCTGGGAAGCTGGGCGCTGTTGCTAGCGAAAGCTCAATCTGCTCTCGCCATGGATCTGATATTCTCAAGAAGGGCGGAAACGCCGCTGACGCTGTGAGTATACCTATGCAGGTGGGCTCGGGGTGAATCTCGGTGCTGACAATGACATAGTTGGTTGCGACAGAATTTTGCATTGGTGTCGTAGGTAAGGTTACATCTATTTGCACAGTAACTGTATCTGAGCATAGCTAACGGGCACAGGGATGTATCACAGTGGAATCGGTGGAGGTGGCTTCATGCTCGTGAGATCAGAAAAGGGCGATTACGAGTTCGTTGATTTCCGAGAGACTGCTCCAGCAGCGGCATTCGAGGATATGTACAAGAACAACGAGGATGCTTCCATCTACGGCGGGCTGGCAAGGTAAGACAAATACACGGAGTGGATGGGAGCTATGCTAACAGCTATACCAGTGGAGTACCGGGCGAAGTGAGGGGTCTTGAGTACCTCCACAAGAAATATGGCTCCCTTCCATGGTCGACTGTTATGCAGCCCGCTATCCGCACAGCCCGTGATGGGTTCCCTGTCACAGAAGATCTTGTGAAATATATGAAATCTTCCGTTGGCACTGGAGAGGACTTCCTGTCCAAGAACCCCACGTGGGCAATTGACTTTGCTCCTAACGGAACCAGGCTTGGGCTGGGCGATACCATTACCCGACGCCGGTTGGCGGATACCCTTGAGGCTATTGCACAACGTGGCGCGGATGCATTCTACTCTGGCCCCATCGCGGAGGCTATGATCAACGCGCTGCAGAGCCAAAACGGCACAATGACGCTCGAGGATCTGAAGAATTACACTGTGGCTATTCGGGATATCTCTCAGATTGACTACCGTGGCTACAAGATCACGAGTACGACGGCCCCCTCGAGTGGTAGTATCGCCATGAGTATTTTGAAGATCCTCGGGACATACAAAGATTTCTTTTCGACTGAAAAATCTGTAAATTTGAGTACACATCGCTTGGACGAGGCGATGCGATTCGGATATGGCGAGGTATGAATGACGAACTCTGTTTCACCCGTGAATTCTGCTTACACGGACACAGAGATCTAAATTTGGTGATCCTCTGTTTGTTGACGGGATGGCCAAGTACGAGAAGGACATTCTGAAGCAGTCTACGATCGATGAAATTCGATCCAAGATCTCGGATGCTCGAACTCAAAACGTGTCTGTTTATGACCCCGAGGGACTGGAAAGCCTGGAAACGTAGGTCTTACTTGGTGCAGTATCCTCTGATATTAAGCTGACTCTGCATCAGCCCTGGGACTTCCCATATTGCAGCAGCCGACCACACTGGCCTTGCAATTTCGGTAATCACCACAATCAACCTGCTCTTCGGTAGCCATGTCATGGTTCCAGAAACCGGTATCGTCATGAACAACGAGATGAACGGTATGTCGAGAAAGCCAGCACTGGGCCATGCAGTTAACTAAGATGTTCACAGATTTCTCCATTCCTGGATCGTCAAACTCATTTGGATACATCCCCTCTGTAGCAAACTACGTTCGCCCTGGGAAACGCCCTCTTTCCTCCATCACGCCCGCGATAGTTGAGCGACCGGATGGCAAGCTATTCTTGATTGCGGGATCTGCAGGAGGCAGCCGTATTATTACTGCCACCGTCCAGAACATTATCAATTCCATTGATCGAGGACTCTCCGCGGCCAAAGCATTGGCCAAACCCCGTCTGCATGATCAGCTGATGCCAAACCAGGTCACCTTCGAATACACGTATGACAACGCAACAGTTGCCGACATGAAATCGCGCGGCCATAATGTTACTTGGGTTGCTCCGGGACAGAGTACTGCCCAGCTGATTCGGGTCTTGCCCAATGGAACATTCGATGCTGCTGGTGAGCCGAGACAGCTCAACTCGGGTGGGTTCTCTGTATAGAATTGGATATGGCAGGATGCCAAAGTACATACAGTATCAAGTGCACGTCAAGGTACAAAAGCATTGGATAAACCGATCTAGCAAAAGTTCGAATCTTTCGTAATGCACCCCTTTGTTGTAGATTCTTCCAAGGTTGGCAGCTGATAGATTGGCGTTTCTTTATCGGATGGTCTGTGCTTTCAATATTCCCTTTTTTGATGCAAAGGGCTCCAACTCACTTTGCCTTTTCTTCTCCTTTAAAAGTCCACACCAATGTGGAAAGTTGGTCTGAACTTGTCTACTTCTTAATTTTCATTTTCTGGTTTCATTGACACGACATCGCGTCACCTTGTCAACTTTACACGTGAATCTACCTCCCCGCGTTGAAGGGAGCTAGTTCTTCGTGTTTTCCCAGAGAACACGCATTTGAATGGCATAGGAGACTTGCGGGTAGATTATTTTGCTCTTTGGTTGTCTTTTGCCTTGCGTTGACCAGACTATTTTCCATTTAAACAGTTCACATCCAACAAGACAGCTACCGGATATGTCTACGAACCCTTCGAACTACCCCAACTTCCTACCCTAGACAACCCGCCATCTACTGTGGCACTCAGGAATACAATGGCTCGACTCAGCAACATCTCCGTTGTTGTTCCTCTTCCCTCCTTCGACATCGATCCCCTCAAGACCTTTGACGAAAACTTCTTTGACCGTGCTGTTGACAACATCCTGTCCGAGGAAGCAAGCATTGAAGAATCCCGAGACGAGATGACGGACAGTAGTATTGGCATCTCTAGTCCCTTTGGGTGTGACGGCACGTCCGACTTCTCGAAGCTCAAAGTTCGTCGTAGCGGAAGGACCGAAGCCAAGTCGCCGCATTTTTCTACACCCTCCACCTCCTCGCCTACCACCACCACGACAAAGAAACAGAAGTCGAGATCATCTTCTAGGATAAAGAAGGCAGTGACAATGGAGGACTTTAATGGCAATAATGAAGCTCCTATGAGCCTTGAAAACGTCACTCCCATTCACGAGGCTGGTGATCACCCTTCTTCACTTCCCGAAGTCACCGAGTCCATCAACATGTCGACCGGTGACAACGAAATGACGGCGGAAGAGAAGATATTTATTTCCGTGGACCCAGAAAAGCAAATGCAGGTGCTAAAGTTCGTCGTATCACACTCTTTTATGATGGAACAGGCTCAACCTGTTCGATGTTCGGCTAGACGAGAATTCACTGGCCAAGTGCGCGGAGTCGCTGCGCAGGCTGGAATGAACGACACAGCTATCGATGCTTTAATAGCCCACGTTCGAAAGACCTACCTTGAGGACCGTGGGATTGCAGCAACAGAAGATGCCGGCTCTGCGTTTGGAGACGAAGTGGATGGAGATGAAGAAACACACAATAAGAGCTCGCATCGAAAACGGCGTAAGAGCAGCTCTACTCACCCCGAGGACAAAGACCACAGGAAAACCAAGAGGCGTCACTCGGATAAGGCAAGACGGCACAGCCACGATGCTGTGCCGCATGATGAGCCAACCGAGGTTGTGGAAGCTCATGTCCCGGCAGGTGCTCCTCCTGGAAGCCAGGACAATAGCTGCATTGAGCCGGATGAACCAAAAAATGAGGACAACTCGCCGGATCTACCCATGATGCCTACGAACATCATTCGGGGTAGCCCCGGTAGACCCATCGACCTGACCGACTCTCCTCCATACGACCAGAACATCGCTGAGGCTGATGCGGTTCAACCAAGCGAAGGCGTTGATGCCATTGTAGGGTTCAAGGATGTCAAAAAGAGAATCAAAGAAGTTCTTACACGTTACGTGTCACCTGACGCCCCTAGAGATGGTGTTCCCGAGAGCCCATCGCCTGAAAAGGTGGTCGAAGAAAAGCCGTCGAAACGTCGGGAGTCAAGCAAGGCATCGAAGACAGAAAAGAATAAGCGCAAGCGCGAACGGAGGCGCATTCGAAAGATGTTCAGTGAACAGAAACAGCCTCAGGACGATTCCGTTGATGGAGCGGTGAAACAGCCTCGAGGCCATTCCGTCGATGGAGCAGCTCAAGACCAAATTCCGCCATCCACTCCGCGACGACCCTCCTTTGAGAGCTCCAATGGAAGCAGACAGAGCTCCGGTCAGCTCCCGCTACCCGCCAATCCATCTCTGTGGGACATGGATTTTTGAGTACCAGTGATTTACCAGGTGTGACTCCAAGTGATGAGGTCCAGTCTAAGTATTTCTTAGGAGCCGGCAACCCCAGAGTTGGCTCGAAAAGCAAGCGGGAAACAGCTTCCTTGCTCTACGATTTGTCTATCCCCCCCAAAGCCCGACAGCTGTTGAATGATTTGAATCTGCCCCCAGATTTCTTGTCATCGGATTCGTCCTTGAGTGATGCGCCGAGTGATTTGGATTCTGATTGGAACGATCTAGATGATCTTCCTTCGCATATTCAGATCAAGTTATCACCTCCAAAAAGCCCCTGTCTTGTCCCCCAATGTACAAGTCCTGACCCTGAAACTCCGGTAAAATGCACCTCTTTCGTTAGCCCGGAATCCATTAAAACCCCTAAAGCCAAAGCCCCGAAGCATTCCCCTTATTTCCCACGTGTGCTTGCTGATCCTGAGTCTTGCCTCCCATTTCCCCCTATCAATACGCCTTCTTTCGGACTCATTCAGGAACAGCTTGCACATGACCCCTTTCGTTTACTCATTGCAACGATATTTCTCAACCGAACCCGCGGTGGTGTTGCCCTGCCGGTCTTGTTCAAGGTTTTTGAACGATACCCTACGATCGAGGCGATGGCAGAGGCAGATCTACCGGAATTCGTATCGATGATCAACTGCTTGGGCTTTCAGAACCAACGTGCAAGGAAATGTATCACATTGGCACAAACATGGCTATCAGATCCCCCGAACAAAAGCAAAAGATATCGCAAGCTCCACTACCCACGAAAACTCGACGGCCGAAACGTTGGTCGTGAAGAATGCATTGACGAAGAAGATTTACGAGTCGCATGGGAGATCGCACATCTACCCGGAGTTGGAGCATACTCTCTTGATAGCTGGAGGATCTTCTGTCGCGATGAGTTGCGGGGGAAAGCCTCTGACTGGAAAGGGACGGATGCAACAGAGGTCGGGTTTGTGCCTGAATGGAAGTGCGTTCTACCACACGACAAGGAGCTACGTGCCTATCTTACATGGATGTGGCTGAAGGAAGGATGGGTTTGGGATTACAACACGGGTGATTTGACACCTGCCAGTGACAAGATGATGAGAGCTGCGCAGAGTGGAGGGGTCGCTCGTGAAGAAGAGAGTAATTGGGTACTAGAGACATCCCCTGTCAAGGCTGTGAATGGATTGCATGGATCAGATTGATTTTAAGAGCATCCGTCTCTTGATGTACATGAGACACCGAATACCAAAATTTCAAATCCACAGACTGTATGTATATGTAGTTGCCTCAGGCAGTAGATTCTGTGTTCCCCCAGAAAGTTTTCAGCTGAGGTCTTTATATATATCTCCGAATCTGATTTCAGGCTTCCATGCAGCAAACCCACGTCAGTTAAAAGAGCGGGGCCGAGATCGTTCACCGCATAATCATATAGTGCGTTTCTTCCACTTCCAACAACTTCATGCGTCGTACCTAAAAGAGGTTATTCTTTCCTTTTTCTTTCCCAACTCGTGATCTTGCTCTCCCCAGACCCCAGACACGCGGAACGCCGGATTGGTTCCCGCACACTGCGACGTTAAGCGACCAGTCACAACGGCAGCCCGAGCTAAGCGCCAGGAACATTGGAGACGAAAATAGGACCACATTCCCCTCAGTGGCGGTGCGAGTCTAGACAGGTAACGGACGACTGACCCTTTCGCGCGGTCCACAACTCGATTTTACGGATTTCGCCATGTTTCCTGTTAGACTAAACCGCGACGATAGGAAGTCGAAGACCGTCAAGGCTACGAAGACCAAGACAAACAAAACAAACAGAAATACCTCAACCAAGGATCCAGAGGATCCTTCCACGGCTCGCTCATCAACTTCCAAACGCAGGTCCTCCATGCCTGGACTTGAGAGATCGGAGGCAGCCTCGTTCCTTGGGTCGAGAACTAGTCTACCGTATCCTACTTTCTCGAAAGCCCATAGCAAGGAAGGCGTCCGAGCGAGTATCCCTACACCGGACCCGACCGATTTGACACATGACGACGGCAAGAACGGTCACCGCGAGAATCACCATGCGCCTCCTAGTCCGCCCCTGACCGGCCTCGACCAAGAGTCGAGGAAAGGCAGTATCGTCAACGAGGATGAGAAGGAGATAGACAAACCCAAGAAGAAAACAAATATTAAAATCAGAGCCTCCGAAGTCAACAGATCCTCATCGAGTCTCCGGTCGAAACGGGATGATAGCACGAAGTCCAAGTCCAGCAAGACGTCACGAGCAGAGACCCCTACAAGATCCAGAACAGCCAAGGAAGAGAGCGAAGCTTCGCCTCGGTCATCTAGCCACAAGCCCAAGACAAAGGTTTCAGATGACAGGAAACTGCCTAAACGGTCGAGTCGCTCGGCCATGTCTGCCTCACAGTCGAACGTTACGCTTCGCGATATCGGCGCAGAGTCAGTCGACGGCTCCGATGCGACGTCTATTGCACCCAACCAGCAGCACTCTGTGCCACGGAAACCAATGACCCCGCCTACGAAGCCTCCCTCTCGCACCCAGAACCGATCAGCCATGTCCCATCGCCACACTGCTAGCGACGAGTCAATCGAATTTGTGAAGCCAGCGAATCCGAATTCGTTTGGCGCACCTCCGCCGCCACCACCTCCGCCCGAAATGCCTGTCGCTATCCCTCGAGTCGATTACTTGCTAAAGAACGGTGGCCTGGAAAACAAGGTATCGAGAGCACTGCTGGCTAGCCTGGGGCAGAAGGATCCATTCTCGCAAGGACAACCTCAGTCCCGGGCTATCGCTGGCAAAATATTCGACCCATATAACCGTTTACTAGATGACTACCAAAAGGTCATGAATAAGAATGGATCTCTTGCTGTCGCAACAGGCTACCGGTCTGTGGCCCGCCGTTTATTGGATCGCCTCGAAGCCGTGTTCGCGCGCGACATCTCGTCCGAGCCGTGTAGCTGCCAGATATGCGACCAAGCGGAGCCAGACGATAGACCGGATGGGGTGAGTTGGGGTGAGGTTTTGGAGCTCGTGTCTGGCCGCAGGGAACTTCCCATGTGGCCTCCCTTCACAATGGCACCAACCGCCGTGGATACCGGTGCGCCCGGGGACGAGCACGTTCCAATGCAGAAGCTTGACGTTGACGTCCCTGAAGAGTACCGGGAACACTTCATACGCCAATCTCGAAAGACAAAAGTCGCTGTCGACAAATGGCTTTATGAGCAGAATGATCCAGGCACCAGCGCTCCTAACGAGGTTGACGACGAGACGTTGACCTTCGCCATGCTTACACATCTCGAACCCTATCAGCGCTCGTTGTTCTGCTCTCTGCTCGGCATCAACTCCTCTACTCCTGTCCCGCGATCTGACGACGAAAGGCCCCGCCCGAAACCTTCGGCGCTTGTCTCGTCGGCCTCGGCCATCCAGCGTCTTTACCGACTACCCTCCCTCCCTCGCGACCCAGAAACTGCTATGTACATGCTGAATAACCCTACTATCCACCATGTCCTCGCCACCCTTTCCGCCATCAGCGATGATGAGTGGGAAATCCTCATCTCCGGCCGCTTCGACGGATTCCTCCGCAGTGGCGCGGAAGACACAGGCCCCACCGCGAATGCCACCGGGTCTCGCTGGGCCGGCAGTCGCTCCAACACACCCTTAGGTGGCGGTATCTCCCGAGGACCGACACCCAACTACATGGACAGCAGCTTCCGACCCTCAAGCCAAGTCAACGGCGGACCCTCATCCCCCGCCTCATTCGGCGGCCCGATCGCTCTAGACGAGGAAACCGAAATCGCCGCTTTAGCGGAAGTCGAGCGTGACATTTTCCTCGGAATGGAAGCCCTCGAAGACGCCTTCGAAGCCCTCCACTGCAAAGCCGAAGTAGTGCGGCGCGCACTGCGCGAACGCGGCGCTGGCCTCTCCGTAGCAAATCAAAGCCGCCGGGGCTCATTGGTCGAAGCGCGCATGGGCACGCCCTTCTCGGGCGTTGGCACATGGGAAAGCGGCGGTGAAGACGACTTCCTCGACGACGATCGCTCTCTTGCGCCCGATGACTCGGCGAGTAATATTAGCTCGAACCGGCGCCGTCGGCCTAAGAGACGCACGGAGCGACGCACACCTGCGCCTGTCGAGGAGGAAGACGAGGAAGATGACGGTCTTGGTCGTCGGGATACGCGCAACTCGAGACGGAGATAGATCGACACAGGCATTGGAGTGGGAATAATTCTTTCGACCTACTTACAGCGTTGAAATCATTCGAGGACTGATTGTTGGATAGCATGGGATATGGATACTGCTGTTGCTATTGCAATGGGCTTGACGGACTCATGATACCCCCTTGCTTTCTTGTCCTAGTTTTTCCTTTCGTTGTTCCTCGCTTGTTCTTTGCATCGTTTTTCTGGGCTTGGCCTACTGCCTCCCGCCTTTTTATATTTGCTCTTTTGATGATTTATGAATGCTATGAGCTTTCCTTCCCCTAACGCCTGTCCGTGCGCTTAGGTTATGATACAAGTTTGATTTAGCATCTCTCGGCGGTTTAATTGTTAGTACTGTGCAATATAAGAGACCTGGATCTAGGTCTTATAATGATATCTAGGAGACTACAGAGAATTCCAAACAAGGATAACAGTTAACTGGCACGACAGTTGAGAGGCTCTAATGGAAGTCTCGATCACGCGACCATAAGCCAACCCTTCAGGACGGGGGAGATACTACTGTAGATGTACTATAACATCACTCTACTATATATTACATGAATATTAGTACTACGCTCACGTATCGCCCGCCTACAGGGCTGGTGAGCATAAAAGTGGATGCCCCTACAGATACATATCGAGCTCATATATATTCTTTGAAAGTGTTTCGTGCTGTGGTATTGTCTATATAATTCATACTACCCAGCTCGATATCAAATACGGAGAAGGCTCAATACCAGCCTTTCAGTTATTGTAGTCGGATTGCCTACCACAACGACTCGGGCTTTCAGATCATCGCCCTGGGTAGCCGGAGTCCACCAAAGAAGCTCCCAGATGTACTAAACCAGTACCTCATTCTGTGCCTGGTTTGAGGAGTCCTTTGTGCTTAAGCACAATGCTCGTGTTAATCAACACACACTGCCACCCACGCTAACTACGCTGTGGCCGCAATGGAAGCTGGGGCAATATTTTCGTTGAAAAGCTCCTGGAAGCAGCAGTAGACGAGGCGCAGCGTGTCGGGAAACAACACGATGTACAAATCGCAAGCTCGTCATCGGGTACATCTTACGACATCATCCCAGCTGGGTACCTAGAATCCACGAAGGACTCAATCATTCACTGTGGCGTTAGCATATTCCACCAAAGACGTATAGGCCCACGTGGCTCCGTCTCAATCGTGATCGATACAACGAGAAGACCACGGACAATGGCGGTGACTCGGCCAATATTGATATTCACACGAAGACATCGACCTCACCTGGGAGCACTATGGCTGATCGACGCGCGCATGATCGGATGATCTCCATGGAAGGCGAGCCGAGCCAGTATGATCCTTGTGCGCGTGAACGGTAGTTCCTACTTGACGATATTGGAGAGGATCGACACTTCACACAGCATATGATGGATGTTGTGCGATCACTTACCATTGTCCTTGCGGTGGATTGCTCTTTGCCGGAGAAACATGCAATTGACATTGTGTGATGGCTCTTCATATGCCAAAAATGGATAGTAAAACCTCAACGCACCGTTGTGATAGTGCCTTTGATACTACATGAGGGGATTTTCCAGAAATTGAAATTGCGTACTCCGTACGGAGTACTGCATCACAGCTAGTCTCGACCCTAAAAGTTGAAAGTGGAGGTAACAACGAGGGATCAGCCGCTATTTGCGCCCGAAAAGTAGCAGAGGGGAGGATGAGTGGCGAAAAGCAGCTCTTCTATAAGGTGAAGAGAAATCATTCTTCGCCCCTGGGGCCTGGGGCCCATCCGGAACCTCGGCATCTTTTGTCTTGCTCGGTCCATCCCCTGTCTACGGGGCCAGTTGCATAACTGAGTTCCACTACTACCCACTACGGTTTATGCTACTTCACACCGGTAGTTAGCACTTGCGAAAGTTGTGCCGGGATTAAACTGCTTAGGAGCATTCACATGTTCCTACTGCTGGGTTGTGGAGAACATGCCTTGCTACTAAGGGAAGGAGGATCGCCGTGCGTCTGAAGGTATTCAGG